GATTGCGCTGTTGATGCGTTTAATGTTTCACAACGAGCAGCCTGCTGAATTGCCGCCGCCGCTGCCGCCACTGCCACCGCCGCTCGCGAGAGCAAATTAATATTATTATTAGCATTATTAGCCCCCTGTTGCGCGGCGCACTCGTGCACTTGTGTCGCGCGCGTTCAATTGAACGTGTAAACATCGCACCGCCACCGCCAACGCCGCCGCCGCTGCCGCCGCCCGCCTGTCGACAATGGACAATTATGCACGCTTGCAAGCGGCCCGCCGAGAGAGCAAACGAGCGCGTACGTCACACGAGTACTGTGAGTGCTCATTACGCGCGCGCCTCTTTGTTGTTGATAATATTGATAGTGTTAATCGTGTACCCGACTTCATTTTCGTAATTATGTAATTTTACATCACGTTCAACATGTATACATAAACAACAACATTATGCAAATAAATTCCACAAACAATTCACAACTATTCACCGCTAGATGGCGACACTTTACAAAATATTAATTAATTTAACCTAAAAATTTGGTTTTATTTAATTTTTTTATTATTAAATGTGCGGAATATGCACAATTTTTTGTTTTGGTTATGACCGCCGCCACAGCCACCCCCTCGCCGGGGGAAATAATTAAAATCAATGATAAACGCGCGTACGTATAAATATCGCATGTGTATGATGCGCCCGGTGCGATAATTAATTAATAAAAATGCTTTTATGCGCTTTGCAACCCTTCCTTCTGTGCCCGTGAGTGTGTATGGGGGGCGGCGGAAAATTTTCATTTCATTTTAATTTTGATTTTCATTTTTAATTCCGGCCAGCCGATGAAATTACGCGCCGCGCGTACGCGAACTCAATAAAAACATTAAAAATCCATGCGACGGAGGCGGCAGCGTCCAATAATGTATGCTAAGCAGGGTGTGCGTGCGTGCGCGCGTGATTTTTATGCGCTCGCGTTCATCCGCTAATGTATCGCGTCGGTTTTTGCGATATTTTGCAATAATGCGGAAAATTAATTTTTAATCCCGCGGCACTCGCGCGGCGTTGGTGTGGGGCGGGTGGCCGGACCCTATTAGCGCAATGTAACTGGGCGCACAATGCACGTCGCCCCGTCAACATTTGTTTCATGTATGTATGTGTGCATGTGCATTACGTGAACGTGCAGCGTTTTTTTCATTTTATTAAACTTTAATTTTGCTTTAATTTCAATTTTTAATTTAATCGCAATGCGCATCATCGACCACCACCATTACACCTGCACATATGTGTGGTGCGAGTTAAAACGCAACATTTTCAATTTTTTACAGCCGAAAAATCAATTAATAATTAAAAACTTTTAATAACAATTTATAGATACGCTAATATTTCTATTGTGCCATTGTTGGTGTAGTGCGCAAAAATTTTCATACGTGAATGTTTCCAGCCTCACACTCCGCACCTCATCGGAGGCGGCTGGCCATTCGCTGTCCAATTGTCCGAGCGGCGGGCGGTGGGACAAAAAAACCGTGTACAGCGAAGAACGCATCGCATCACTTTGTCAAAATCCGATAGCAAATCCTCCCGAATATATTCAAATGACTCGCGCGTGCATGCACGCCGCCGCCCCCACGCGCTGTGCAACAATTTTAATCTCCTGATAATAAAAATGAAAATAAATGTTCGGCGCCGGAGCGCGCCGCTTGCCCGCTCGCCGGCGCTGCCCCGAAGAGGAGAAGAAGCGGTGGCGGCCGGTATAAATTATGGCCATCCATCCCATCAGCGTGGCGCGTTCGCTTCGGGGGATGGGGTGGCGGCGGTAAGCCGGGCTATTTGTTATTTTTCATTTCGAAAAATCCAGTAATTTAGTTTCTGCCCGACTCTCTCGTGCCCGGCTCATTGCGATCGACGACGATGCTTGTTATGTTATGATACATCCGACATTCTCATACAATGTGTCCGCACAATTCCTTCCAAATAAATAATTATCATCAAAAACTCACATCACTTAACCAATACAAAAAACATTTAATATTTATTTTTAGGAACACACTGTATGCGGTGTAATGTTGCATTACATTTTTGTGCCGGTCAGATACGGATGGTTTTTGCAAAGTGTGTAAAGGTACGTATAGGTAGATGAGGGAGTAGTGGGCGGCTGGGTGCATGGGTGGAGGCGGCGGATTGCAGCGCGAGCGCGCGTATCGCATTTCCTGGCTTTTTATGGCGCAATGATACATCATTCAATATCGGAGCGGAGCGCCGGTATTAATGGCCCGGACCTGCCGCCCCCAAGCCGCCTCCGCCACCGCCGCCGCCGAGAGTAGCCGCGCGTCGCACTCTTGCATGAATAAAAGACTACGGGGTACACGCTCGCGCACTCAAACACACGCGGTTTGGACGACTCAATGACTAACTTGCACATCAAAAGATAGAAATTCTGTTATGCAAAAGCGTTGCGATCATTTTGTTACACTCGAAACAATAAATTCATCAACCGAAATATTTTCCCGCATTTTTTAAAATTTAATAATTACTTCTTTGGTTTTGAGGTTAATATAATAAATGTCATAAATATCAGCTGTTATTTTAACCTCAAACTTTTAATAACTAAAAATATTAATTTATATTTTTAGTTTTAAATAATTACCTATATTGTGAAATGTCATAAATATTTTCAATCCGACTGTACAATTTTTACTCCTCGCAAATATGGAGCAGATACACACCGCTTTCGTAAAGTTCGACTTGATATTCACGCGCGAGAGTCCAACTGTGAAAACATTTTGCCGTCGCCGCCCCCACCGCCCCGCGGCTCACACCTCTCGCGTGAGCAGTGTCCGCTCGTCGATCCCCGTAAATGACGCCCGATGCGACTACAAGGGGGCCGGTGAAGCGGTGGGTGAGGGCGGCAATAAGCGGACCGGTCCATTTCGAGCCGCCGCGCGTACATGCGGCGACCGCGAAGAGATAACGATACATTATATCACCCGAACGCTCTCGAAAAAATAGCCAACTTCCAACTTTTACGCGGGGGCGGCGGGAGCGGCCGCCAACGAGAATCTATATTTCCATTCATCGCATAAATCGCGCACAATGCCAGCGGTGCACATCGCACACTCAGAAATTATCTATTAATGCACGCGAGGATGGCAGAAAAAATATTTAAAATTTCAACTCAACTGACTGAAAATATCTACGTTTTTTTGTTTGTTTTGGCCATCTTGTTGATATTTGCAACCTAGTGATCCACTCAATGTGCGCTGCGGGTTGCCTGTAGGTCAAACGCACGCTTCGTCGCGTGTACGTTTGGAACGTTTTCAACATTTGCGCCCGTTTTGCACCGCGCGAGATTGACAAATTGCATCCGATCGCACGCGGCGCAATAATAAATATCGCTAAACAATACACCTCGATGACTCGATCGGTACATCAGTTAAATCGTGGATTTTTCACCTAATTCGGCGATAAACGACTCGTTGAACTAGTGAAATCAACGCTGACCAAACACTATAGGCAACCTGTTATACACCTGCGCGCATACTATGCGAGCATGCAGCCGAGACAAAAAACCGCAAGAATACATTGTTCTAGAACAACTCTAATACTTTACAGTCGGTGTTTTAATGATTGAATAAGTTGTACTTACGTTGTTTACTGGCAATGCACATGTTTGGGATGATAATTTCACAAAATATATCAACATCTTATTGGATTTTAAGAGCACGACTCGAAACGTGACGATGCAGAACGTTGCAGAACGTTCAAGGTCAAAACTAAACAGCGCTGCCAACTTAGTAACAAACCAGTAATGTTTTAGGGAATTTTGTCGGTTGTAAAATTTAAGTTGACAACATCATAGTATGCAACTAATCACACACAATTTATTTATAGAATAACTAAAATGTTTAAAAACATTCAAAACACTGAATTTTAGCAAAACCAGCGTTAGAAATGTGATTCCAACGTAATTTCCGCATTGTTCCAAAGGTGTTTAGTGTGTTTTCGGGTGTAATTTACGTGTTGGTAACGTATAATTTAATTTCGCAGCGTTTTTCAACAATTTTTTGCAATTCAATGCTTTGTTGCATTCAGTTTTCAGGCGGCCATGTTGTAATAACCCATTGCGAGCAACCGAAAAACTTTTGTTCGCGAAAAAGCGCGATTTGAATGGCCGCGCGCGAGCTGAAATTTATGGTAATGGTAAAATGAGTAAAATTACACATACACACACACGACCCGTGGACGCAGAGGTGAGAAGCGAAACAGAAAAAAGAATCGAAGCGGACGAATCATAACCGGCAGGAAGAAAACGGGCGCAAAATAAATAACGCCCGAGGTAATTAGATTAATTGTTAATTAACTTTAACACTACGTAAGCTTATTACATGTACACACGTGAGAATGATTTTTTTATGTGTTTGTTGCGCGTTCGTTTGTTGCATTTGTTTCAGTTGTTTCATTTTCACCTTTGTTTCGCTCGTTTTTCCTCATTCATTTGTTTGCTGCTGCTGGTTGTGTGTTGTTTTTTATTCATTTTTGTATTTATGTTTTTTAATTTCGCGTTTTCCCCCACGTTTCACAGTTATTTATGCTCATCGCACGCGTTATTATTTACTAATTATTTTATTCGAAGTGATTCTAATTTAATTTCCCTCAAAATTTCTTCTTAGCCGCCTCAGAAGTTTAGCAATTAATCAATTAATAAATATAAATAAATACCAAATGACAACTGGCTGCATCAAAATAAATAATCGCTGTAATTTGCAATGATTGCGGTAATTGTTCGCGCCTTCAAAGTTTCTGTTTTATGTTCCAAGTTCTAATTTCTAAAATGTTTAGGAAAATATGTCGAAGATGGGAAGCGCGCAGAGAGGGCGAATTAAAGCAAAACAAAGCGGCGAAAAGTGGAATAATGTGGATTTTACGCGAGGCGCAAAATCCGCATAATAAATGTACTTACGCGCAGCGGAACAATGGAGCACGACGCGGCGAAGATGTGCAACTCAAACAAAAGCACGCCGAGCGTCGCCGATGAAAACTTTAAATTAGCTACACAAATAGCCGTAATGTGCAAGAGAAACACCATTTCAACACGCAGATACAACTGAAACAGAGAAAAAATTGTGTTGGACTTGTAAGTTATAACAGTTTTTTTACAACTCGTTATGTCATTACGAGTGTTGATTAAGATATCAACGTTTCTAATATTTTAGACATAAAATTGGTCTGGAGAATTGGTTTGCTGAAATTAGTTAGGAATGAATACCTAGATGGCGCTAAAGTATTTTATTTGTATTTTCTCTATTTTTAACTAAAATCAGCGAATTATTGGCTAATTTGGCACATAAATATCCCCAAAAACAAGAAAATAATTAATTACGTTGATTTTTATTAAAATTTACGCTGAAAAGTCTAAATGTATTGGTAAAATGTGTCAACATAAGAAGTTGCATAACTAATAGAAATTGACGTGGGTATACTAGCGCCACCTATTGACAAAATCACAAACCCTACAGAATTAAGCTATTTAATGTTTCGTTTCGTTATAAAACTTGTGTTTTAGTGCAAATATTAAAAAATAACTGCATAAGCGCAATAATAACTCATTTAACGTAATCTCATATTAAAAAAACCTCTTTATAACAATAATTTCTGATGTAAAATTTTTTTTCTCTTCTTATGTACAAATGCAAAGTAATTTCAATATTTTGCGATGTATGATCCCTACTAATATTATAAATGCGAAAGTCCTGATGTTTGTTACACTTTCACGCAAAAACTACTTAACCGATCATCATGAAAATTTGTACACATATTCTTAGTGGTCCTCGAATGGTTATAGGCTACTTTTTATTTAATAAAAAAAATTATTTTTTAAATAAAATAAAGAAATTGTTTAGCAAATAATACCTCTGCATCTGGCTATTTGACTACTTTAACGCCATCTAGCATTCCAGCAATGAAGCTCAAACCTAAGTACTATAGTACCATCACACTGTATTATCACACTGTATTACCGACAGCTACGTCAACATCAAATCCAATTGACTACACTATGGAGACTGTACACTATACTTCCATAGACTATACTTTCAGCCATTTTAAACTTCCCGCCATTCTACTTCATTGTTACTTCTTCTGTGACTACAGACGCGTACGGAAGCAACTTCATTATTTTAGATATTCGCGAGCGAAGCCAAGGGTTAAAGCTAGTACTTTATATTTCTGTCACACCCTGTATAACATAATTAACAAAAATTTTTCCCCAAAGCAATGCCAATTTCAAGATTATGTTTAAACGTTCAATTACGATTTGAAATCGCACAAAGTTTATCTTTATTGCATCACCCGACGCGCGTTATGTAGCACGCTTTATGTTGCTAGTCGTTAATAATTCGTAATTATGCATATCGAGCAGTGTCGCCCCATTTAGACGAAGCCGCGCGACCCGCTCGCCACCCCCTTGCGCGCGTTTCTTCGCTGTCGCATTCGTAATTGACTAATGCCGATTGTGCCGACACCCGAAAGTTTCCACTCTTTTCATAACTCTCGGCGAGCGCGGCGAGCAACTTTTTAATTGCGTTTATATTCATTTTAATTCATTAATTAAACAAATACACGCCGCGCGAGAGAAGAGTTTAATTTTATTCACCGCCGCGCCGACCTAGCCACTGAGCAGTTGAGCGCGGTGGCGGAGCGGAGGCGGCGGGAGTGGGACACTTTTTAACTCTTGCTTTTCACCCTCACAAAACCTTACACATTTAAAACGTGTTTTATCGCTGTTTAAGTATGGTACAAATATTTTTTTACTGCGCATGCGCAATAGTTTTAAAATTAATTTTTTAGAGGAAATGTTATATTAAAGTGTAAAAAAATGTCCGCTGCTGCTTGTCCGGTCGTTGCCGTGTTGGTCATTCGACATTTCGGCTTTTTTTCTGGTGGGATTCCCCCACTTTTTTCCAGCCCAATAAAGACGGAACATCGTTTTTTTCCTGCGCACGTAAAAGAGACACCGCGCGAAAAAAAACAAACGCGAAACGCGTTGCACGCGAAAAAAGCACCGCGCACCAATAAAACAAAGCGCCCCCTGGGTGAGTGTGTGTGCGACCACCAACCCTCTCACCGGGTCCTTGTTCCACCATCACACAACCCACACCTACATTCGGTGCATACGGGCAGAAGTAGCGTTTACAATTGCGAAATGGGAAAAAATTGAACCGAACCGAGAGAGAATAAAATCGAAACGCGCGCGGAGGGGGGGGCAGTGGTACGTAATGCGCGATGGGGGCAAAAGAATGCAAAATGAGATGGAGCTTAAACAGCGAGTAAAAAAACAACAAATGAGAATATGCCAGAGCAGGATGGGTGAAATTATAAATTTACAAGAGGAAAAAAGACAGAGAGTACGATGCGGGAAAAAAGGGGTGAATTGGAGAGCGGAGGGAAAAAATCGGCAAAACGCGAAAAAGGTAAGTGCCGATGTGTGCGACAAGCGATGCACAGAGAAAGAGAAAAATAGGCGATCAGCATGCAAACAAGTGAGACAGATAGCTAACACGGCGAGGGATGCACATGTCGGTGGTGTAACTTGTAAAAGTTTGCTTTGCACCACTACCGACATCGACATTGACGATCGCCAATCACATACAATGTGTTCATGGATAAAATTAAAAAAAATCATCCTATACACATTGTATATTAATAATTTTTTTTTCTAGTGAATTTAATGTGAAAAAATTAAGTAAAATGTAAAAAAAAAATAGTTTTAGGTTATAAATTTGAATTTTGTGTTTCTTTGGACACACTGTATGCTTCCCCCACCAATTGGCGCGTGTGTCGCTGTGTCCGACGTGTTTCGCGATTGTGTGCGTATTGGATGGACATTACGAATCTAATTAGAATCTTTGCTCATGCGTGGCCGCACCACCACCGCCACGTAGAGGGTCGGCGGGGAAGGGTTAGGCGTAGGTGTGTGTGTGTGAACGCATTGTGTCCGGCCGGCCGAAGGGGAAGGCGGCGGCGGCAAGCGGCGAAGGTGGTGGGGCGCTCCTCGTAGACACACGGTCAGGACGGGGAAGGACGCGCCGCGGAGGACGAGAGAACTCGTTCGGTCGTGGGTTCGAGTGCTGCGCGAGTTGTCGCGGCGCGCTCAGACGGCACGCAAACGTCGCGCCCGCCGCACGTCCGCAAACGCCACGAAACGCGTGTGTGCTCGCTCGCAAATCGAACTAGTACACAATTCGGGTATTCACAAAATTAATTCCAACTTCAATATTCACTAAATAAAAATTACATCATTAATAAAACTTAAAAAATATTATTAAATATTTAAAAGTTGAATAAAAGTGATTTTGAAAGTTTTGTTAATAAATTAAACTTTAAACTGTGAATAGTGTGGACACGAGGGTTGCATAAATGTGTTGTGCGCTGCACGTGCTTCCCCACATGCGAGATATTATATTTTACGGACATTGTTTGGTTGATATCGATTGCAAACTGTTTTAAAGTGAAGAAATGATTTGAATCACACACTTTGATTTGCCACTTGAAAGATTAAGTTGAGGGGTGTGCTTGACTGAAGTTGCGCGAAGAAAAACGTGGCGAGTGAGGAAAAAGTGCAGCTAACTTTTATCGACCACCTGTTTCGTGCGGCGTGAAGGCGCACGGAAAGAAAGGCTCCTTTGAGACGCTCGGCGCCGCGACGCACGCTGCACACGCCGTGCCATTTTCCGCCACGACGGCTTCGACCGCAGACTTTACGCATATCAACAATAACGCATCCGGTAAGCATGAAAAAGTAAAAATTTTATTAAAAAAATTGAAAATTTTATTTTTAGGAAAATTATAAAAGTTTTTGAATATTTTTTCGGGAAATATTGAATTACACTTCATATTTACCCAAAAATATAATTTACTATCAGTAATATTGTAATGAATATTCTTTACATGCTTCTCTAAATGAAACCTAATCACTTGCAATCATGTGAAGCCTTTGCAAGTCATTCAATTAGTGATTGATTAATTTTTTATTTTCAACTAGAAAACAATCCACATATTATTCTCGATTAGTGGAAATGGAAATGAATTAACTCTATTTAATTTTGATTAAATTGAGTTTTTCGCATGCGAATTAATTTTTCAATGAAAGCAGTGCGTAAAAATTGATTAAACAAGTGTAAAACACCGCCCCGGCCGTAATTTCCAACGAGCACTCGATGAAGAACACGTATAATTTGTTGATTAATTTCGCAAATGTTTAATTATTTGATGCGCCGCACTGAGGTAATACTTTAATAATTGCGATGTTGATTTTTAATTAAAACATATTCCATATGTGGATGTATACCACGTTTGTTTTTGAGTTTGCTGTGACGATAGTTTCAGTGGGATAATTGTAATAATTTTTTAATAACTTTTAATGACTATTCACGGCAAGTTTTCGGCTCTTCAGATTAATCGAATCAGAGGAATCAATAATTTCATTTATTAATTTGAATTTTGCTTTGTTTCAAGTAGGAAAAAAGCTTTGAAAAGTGATTTTTTAATAAAAAATTTATTTAGACGTTAAATAATTAATAATTAGCAATAATATTCACAAAAATATTAATATTATACTAATTAATGCTGATAATAAGTTAATACTTGTTTTTAAAAAAACTTTTTGCTCCAAATTTTTGATTTTTACAGAAGAAATTCATAAATAAATTAAATTTACATGAAAAAAATAAGGCAAAATATGGTTTAAAAGCAAAAATTCAATAAAAATGCCAAAAATATTCAAATTTTATTAAATACTAGCTTTAACTCACGGCTTCACTCGCGATTATCTAAAATAATGAAGTTGCTTCCATACGCGTCTGTAGTCACAGAAGAAGTAACAATGAAGTAGAATGGCGGGAAGTTTAAAATGGCTGAAAGTATAGTCTATGGAAGTATAGTGTACAGTCTCCATAGTGTAGTCAATTGGATTTGATGTTGACGTAGCTGTCGGTAATACAGTGTGATAATACAGTGTGATGGTACTATAGTACTTAGGTTTGAGCTTCATTGCTGGAATGCTAGATGGCGTTAAAGTAGTCAAATAGCCAGATGCAGAGGTATTATTGGCTAAACTATTTCCATATTTTATTTTAAAAATAATATTTTTTTATTAAATAAAAAGTAGCCTATAACCATTCGGGGACCACTAAGAATATGTGTACAAATTTTCATGATGATCGGTTAAGTTGTTTTTGTGTCAAAGTGTAACAAACATCAGGACTTTGGCATTTATAATATTAGTAGTGATTTGTTGATCCAGTCGTCAATAAAAAGTTTCTCAAGAAAATCTGTGCATAAAAAATTTAAAAAATCAAAACAAAGCAATTTTAAGAAAACAATTCATCACAATATAAATTTATTGGAATTTCCACTTACACTATTATTAACCATTAACCATCTCAAACAGATCCGTGAAAACTCAATCGATAATAACACTTCTAAAATGATTATTACTTCAATTTCCAAGTATAAGTATCTCTATATGTGTGTTTCTAATAAAATCCAAAACACTTAATTAAAAATTAGTCATAATGTCCTCATTTCAGATTCCTCATTATTCATTATGCGCATTACGCGTCCATAACACAATTATAGGCGAGCCCGCGTCGTCCACTTGGCGTCCACACGAATAATAATAACAACAATAATGCCAGGCCGCACGGCGCAATAAAAGCGTTTTAAGTGTGACCGAATGATTCAAAACTTGTCATCGCGCAACGAAACCGAAACACAGTCAGACAACACTCCTTCGAGTCATAGGAATACACACACACATACACAGATAGAATGATTATGATTGTATGCACACGCTTCGCGTCAAGCGCGAGTCCGTTAATTACATACACAATGCATGTACGCAATATGTGCTTCGGAGTTATATTAACATCTAATTAACATAATGAATCATTGGAATCACAGAAGTGCGGATATAAGTCATAGTCATCTTTTTATGAGGATGATATAAGTTTACTTTGTTTTTTTGAAAAATTTGTTTATTTTTTAGCTTTTTACGTGTGGGGGTGAATATTATGAAATTTTGAATTGATGTGTTAGATGGGTGATTTATTTAGCTATTGATTGATGGTTGAATTTTGTTTTTATCATAAATAGTTTTTGAGATATAACAAAAAATATAAATAATTTCGTGGAAAATTTTGTGCTGAAAAATGATTTTTTTAGTATTTTTGTTTATAACTTTTGTAGAAATTATCCAAAATTAATAAAATAAAGTTTAGCAAAGAAGGTAATACTTTCTGAACAAAATGATACATCATTCATTGTTGTACCTTTATTAGTTGCTGAGTAATATGACTTAAAAGTTATTAATAAATCTTTACAATCACAAATGTTTAAACAAAAACCATTATAACTCAAAAACTATTAAAAATTTCTGAAGCAAAATACACACAAATAATACCCATACTATTCCTCTATCAACTAAACTTTAAACAATAAAAATATCTCTAAAACTTCCCGAGATATTCCGGAAATAAAACACCCCAGCACGTGTAACAGTGTTTTTTGTATTTATAAAATTTTATGAATGGAATGTTTGCACGGCGTACGCACGAGCACGACGTAAACACAAACACACAAAGTGAAATTCCGTGCGGCAGGTCTTGCCTGCGTCCGTCGGCGGCAGTGGCGGTGGCGGCGATAAAACGAAAACGGAAAAACGAGCGCTCACGCCAACGCGAAAGGAAAAACAAGAGTAAAAAGAAGCCGGCGGCGGCAGCGGAACGACTTTCACTTCGCCGTCGAAGGGCGCCTGGGGGCGGCGGTGGTGGCGGCGGCGCGCGAACGCCAAAGAAAGCGAGACGGAAAACACGTGTTCGGCGCGGCGCGAAGGACGCCTTTTATACTTTCACGGTTTTCCACGCGCTTGCACCCGCCAGTAAACAACCGCAATCGTAACCGACCACGTGCCAACACGTGTCACTCATTTTTACACCTTTCAAATATTTTCATAAGAAAAAAATTTAAAATTTAATTTTTTTCAATAAAAAATTTAAAATTTATTTTTTTTCTATAAAAAATTTAACACGTGTTAACACGTGTAGTACTTAATTTTCATCTGTTTAGATATATTGTTTATGTTAATAGTTAATATCTATTGAATTGCATCTGTAGCACAATATGTGAATCGACTGATAGGGGAGAGTAGCCATATTTGGACCATTTTTATATTTTTTGATTTCTAGAGCCACATATAAACTGTCAATAAAAATTAAGTAGCGGAAAAGTAACTCACAAGGCTTACCAACAACATGATATTTTTGGTTTAAGTAAAAATTATATTTATACCCTCAAATTTCAATTTAAAAATTGTGTTTTGGTCCAAATTAAGAAACCGGTTTCCTAAATTGGACCGCGCGGTTTCCTAAATTGGACCATGGTTTTTTAACGGCAATTGACACAATAGTAAATTTTAGTTTTAGCACTAACACAAGCACATTTTGTATAAACCAAAGTGCGGCATTTCATACAGTGGATCATTTCGAAGATTTGTGCTCGTCCACAAGCTTTTCTAGGAGGTCGAAAAAATGATATACGTTTTCCCTGTTAAAACCCCGGTGCCTGTCTTCGGTCCAACTTGGGCAACTTGAAGAATTTATATTTAATGATCAACGACAATCTTAATATAACATAACCTCTCAAAATTAATACTATAAATTATAGATAAATAAAGAAGCTTTCTGATGATAATATAATAATCAGTAAAACTAACGTTTAAACGGCTTGACAGCTCTTGCACTTACGTCGTTATAATAGATTTGATAATCAATGATACACGAAGTTGTTGCCACGACGAAAGCACGCGGCAAGTTTTAACCCAAATAGTTGCATTAATTGTTTATAAATACGAGTAAAACGAGGGGCCAGTCTATTTTTGCACAAACTTCAACAGTCCGCGGATATCGTGGTGGTCCAACTTAGGCGCTGGTCCAAATTAGGCTACCTTCCCCTACATGTTTTCCGCGCGTTCGACGTCGACACAATTGCCGATTTGCATAATGCGCAATTGAAGCGAATTTCATCTCATTATTAGCCGCATCATCGCCGGCAGTCGTCGGGCGGTCGGCGCGTTATTGTTGTCGAATTACAGCGGTTTCGTTTCATTATTGAGCACTCTACAAACACATTTAGCTAGCGCTACTTAGGAACGACGTCATTAGACAACTTTGTAACCGCAAATCATAGATTACAATTAATAATAAGACGTCTAGCACTTGACTATATTTAAAAAAGTTTTCATTTAGTAAATTATTAGTTTCTAGATGAAAATTCATCGGCAAAAAATTTTTGTTATCAATTAATTTTTTAAATTTTAATTTTTGACACTTTAGCGCCATCTAGGTTAAAAATATATAACTAGAACTATGGTTAATTTGCTATATTAAGTTTCATCGCTTATTTAACACCCTGTATGTTATATTTTTGCGATAAAAAGTAGCCTATTTCTTTTTCCTTGGCCTAAAGTATATATATACCAAAATTTATCAAAATTGGTTAAGTGGTTTTGTTGTAAAAGCGTAACAAACATACAAATAACTTCAAATTTGTATTTATATTGTCAGTTATGCCATATATTAAGTAAAAAAAGAAATAAAAAGTGTATAAAAATCATTAAAATGTCATATCAACTTTCATCCTTAATTTTACACCCTGTATATTAAAATTTCTCCTCCAAACTTTACAAGATCACCATCTAGGCAATTCTGAAGATGCCCTAAAAATTTCA